TCGAGCCGTGCCAGGTGCAGGGTCTGCTAGCTGGGTGCTGGCAGGCTTGCACCTGGCACGGGCATCGTAGCCAGCCCGTGCCCCTTTAAGGGGGCCAGGGCCGGGAGGGGGGCAATAGAGTTTCCCTGGTGTTGGCCAGAGTGGCCACCAGGGAAAGCTGGGGAGGGCTAGCCTCCCACTAGTTCGAATTAAGGGGCTACACAGCCCTTAATTCGAACTAGTAAGTTCGAACTAGGCTTAGTCCTTGTAGAATGAGGTTTACCTAGTTCGAACTAAGCGCTCCGCTAGTTCGAATTAAGTTCAAACTAGTGGAGCGCTAGTGTAGCGCCTATCAAAGTTAATTCGAACTAACGTCCATTAGTTCTAATTAACTTTGTAGTGTAGACATACCCTTTGTTTCCTTGTGTTCCCGCATCTGTCTGTTTCCATTTGCCTCTTGCCTTGCCTCATATTTCACCCTTTGGGGCAGGAGCCATTTTTTCTTTTTTTTCTGTGTCTGTACAGCACTTATCACTATGGGTTCCTGGTCCATAACTGGGACTCTTAGGTGCTATAGGAATATACATGAACATAACACTTTTTCCCAACCACTTCCAAGAATTGCCAGAAAAAATGGAACCCTATGGAAAACAGTATCTTATGAGGACACAGAAATACCAGCTTAGAAGAGATTCCAAAAGAAGGGATGGGCTTTAATGAAAAATCTGGATTCTTACACATCCTTAACATTGTACAGCAGGCTATCCTAAGCAAATGTTAAGTTCTCATGTAAGACCTAATGTGAATTCTGAAGATGATTCTGTTCTATACCGTTGAGGAAAAGGCAAGCACTTCCAACTGACTGAGGTAATGGAGAAACATTCAACAACAGCAAGATGGCAGCATTGCATACCAAGTAATTCAGTAATTGTTTGCACTGTAAGTATATGTGTACACTGCAATAAAAAATTCCCAGGACCGAGTATCAGACTCCAGGTAAGCTGACTCAGGCTCACAAGGTTCGGGTTGCAGGGCTATAAAACCATAGGGTAGAAAGACAGAACAGAGAGATTAAAAAAAGAATAAAAACCCAAGGTTTAACAGCCGGATTAAAGGAAACTCAGATTTTCTGCTGTCTTTTGCAAAAAGTGTACTACTGGGGAAGTGCAAAAAATGTCTCCAATTTTCCATGTCTGTGGATAAATAAATGAATTAAAGATCATACTAAATTAATATCAAATGTTGATAATATATGATACGGCAGATATGGCAGTAAACTGGGGAACACAAGGAAATCTAAAATGTGTGTAAAAGGGAAGCCAGCAGTAAATGATACAGTTTTGGGCAACATTTTGTAAATGTTAATGATAAAGCGTTTATTTCTGGGCAATCCTGTTAGAAAAGAAAGCAGTTGCATACATATTGATTTCTTTTTGCTCTAGAGATAAAGGCTACGTCTACACTGCAAGCTTCTTTCAGAATAAACTTTTCTGGAAGAGAGTTTCCAGGAAAGCTTATTTCAAGAGCATCCACACTCAAAAAGTGCAGCGAAATAGCGATTTGCTATTTAAAAAGATAGTGTCCACACTGATTGGACGCTATCTCACATTTAAGGCCACCCAGAAGCAGTTCAGGCAGGGCATTAGGCCAGCAATTGCTTCTGGGTGCTGCTGCCTAAGGCTAGCTGAGACACATGCTTAAAGGGACCCCTTTGGACAGCCATTTCTCAGGTTCTTTTGCTTGCTTGCCTACCTCTCCGTGGGACAGCAAAGTATTTGTACTGCATGCTTTCATTGCCCTGTATTTGGACACCACAGCACTCCTTGCCATGGTGCCGGAGCTGACTCTGGGCATGCGATGGCCCCACACTGCCATGCTGCAGTTTCTGTAGGCTGCCTTCATAGCTCTGCATGCTCTCAACTCCAAGTTCATCCTTGAGAACCTCTGCCTGTGTGTGAGAACAATGCCCTTGCAACCGCACCCCGCGAAGGAGAGTCAACCTGTGGAACTCCTTGCCAGATGATGTGGTGAAGGCTAGGACTTTTAACATGGTTCAAAAAAGAGGTAGATAGATTTGTGGAGGTTAGGTCCATCAATGGCTATTAGCCAGGATGGGTAGGAATGGTGTCCCTAGCCTCTGTTTGTCAGTAAATGGGTGACAAGAGAGAAATCATGTGAGGATTACCTGTTGTGTTCCCTCCCTCTGGCATCTGGCATTGGCCATTTGGCTAGATTCACCTTTGGTCTGACCCAGTATGACAGTTCTTATGCTAGCACATTAGTGAAATATGCGTGTGCTAAGAAAAGCTGTAAATAAAAGGAATAGAAACCAAACAATACATTTATCAGGACATTTGACCACAGAGTAGAATAATCAGAAATGTAGCTGATTAATCATTCACAATCTCAGCTATACACACCCACTATTGTTAAAACAAAGAGAACAGAAATGGAAGGTTTATATAGTTGTTTCAGCCTACTGAAACTACAGTTCTTGAAGTGACTGCATTGTATAACGGGCTATTAATACATACAGTATTTAAAAAGTGCCTAAAATATGGGGGGATGTTGTATGAATTACACAAACTTTAAACTGGACATTTAAGCCACTAGCAAAATGTTGGTGGAAAAAACTTCAAGCTGAATAAGTATAATTGCAAAGATGGCCAAAGGATGAAAAAGGCCCAGAAAACGTGACTTGTGAAAGTAAAGTTGCTAACTGAAGCAAATCACGATATTCAAGAAATGTCCCAAGATTGTTGTACCAATAGTTATAATCTAATTTGTTTAACATAAGATGGTGTGACAAGTTGAGCTGTGCGAAGAGACTGGAAAATTCCAGTTCCATTTGCAAGATCTGAAAGATGATGTGTTGTTCCCTGACTGAATGGTTGGAGAAGGTACTATTTTGAATCTTCTGAAGAAGTATAGTTCTCTGTCTGATTACTCCATGCTAACATCTCCAAGATCCAAGAATAGGAAACAAGTTGCACCACCTAGCAGAAATAGAACAAAATGTTCTGTCTGCTTCAGCATATCACTTTCAGGTACGTCTACACTGCACTCTGATTTCAAAATAAGCTATTCTGGAAGAAATGCTCCAAAATATCTTATTTTGAAATAGCTTTCTATACTACAGGGAAGCCTCAAAATTCGTCTGGGGCAGACTTCACTAATGTGGATGTGCTACCTTGATTTAGAGCCCCTGGAGGCACTGGGGAGTAATTTGAATGGCCCTGGGAAGGAGCTATGTCAAAACAGCTATTTTAAAATAGGCATTATTCCTCGGGGAATGAGGTTTACAGAAGTCAGAATAAGCCATCCATTATTTCAAACTTATTTCAAAATAAAAGAATTGCTGTGTAGATGCGCACATTGTTATTTCAAAATAACATCAGTTATTTTGAGATAACTGTACTGTATAGACACACCCATAGGGTATGTCTACACTACCCCCCTAGTTCGAACTAGGGGGGGAATATATGCATACCGAACTTGCTAATGAAGCCCGGGAAATTCAAATCCCGGGCTTCATTAGCATAAAGCCAGCGCCGCCATTTTTAAAAGCCGGCTAGTACGAACCCCGTGCCGCGCGGCTACACGCGGCACGGACTAGATAGTTCGGATTAGGCTTCTAATCCGAACTATCTGTACGCCTCGTGGAACGTGGGACTATCTAGTCCGTGCCGCGTGTAGCCGCGCGGCACGGGGTTCGTACTAGCCGGCTTTTAAAAATGGCGGCGCTGGCTTTATGCTAATGAAGCCCGGGAAATTCAAATCCCCGGCTTCATTAGCAAGTTCGGTATGCATACATTACCCCCCTAGTTTGACCTAGGGGGTAGTGTAGACATACCCTTAGTCCTTTTCTATTTTCCAGCAATTTGTGTTGCCAGCAAGCCACTAAGAAAGGACTGTAGTCCTGTCCATCCTTTACTTCACCTATATTTGCACTGTCAACTCCTGCTGTAAACAATAACTGAGCTGAAAGTAGATGGCTAAGCAAAGACCTGGTGAAAAGTACCACATTTTCTCACATGATGACCGAAATCAGTAGAGCCCAGCAGGTTCAGGGATATCCACATTATATCTACGGGCTCTGCTTCCACAGATGTGGATGTGGATATCAATGGCTCATTTTTGCAGATACAGATGTGGCTGCAGCTACAGAAGTTTGTATCCATGCAGACTCTTCAAAATCAATCAGTTGACCATGTCCCAAATTGAATATCTAATTTGTAAGGTAATTGACAGGCATGTGTGTGTTTACAGATTGTCACAAAGTTACAGTTTGCCTTAGTTTTGTAACAGATTTAAATTAAGATTGCTGTTCACTCTTACAGCTACCTTTCAAGTTGCTGCTGTTAACTAAGATTATAGAACATTGGATATGTGTTTACCATAGTTAATTGGATTCATGCTGCCTTTCAAGTTCTGGGTTTCTATAGACCTCAAATGGCACCAAGTATGCAAGCTTTCTGACAATCACACAGTTGAGGAGTGTTAGTGAGATCCTGCTAAATAGGTACTATTGATCCATCGGAAAGAAGATCTTAGCAAATTGGAATGTAAGTAATTGACCAAATTGTTTTGGATTGTTTTTCCTCTGTTGTATTAGCAACACTACAGCCAATAACCAGTTGATATAAGCAAAGTACCATTCTGAGGGACCCAGTCAAAACTCCAAATGAAGTCATCCTCTCAACGCAAGGATTAAGTGTAAGTGTTGTTTCTATTGTAGTTGTACAATTGACTTTGAAAATCTCAATTTTATACTGATCAGTTTTCCAGTTTGTTAGCCAAAACATAGTCCAATACCATTTTTGCTGCCTTCTGTTCTATACTATTCATTGCTGTTAAGATATTTAACACAACTGTGTAAAACTAAATTCAACTCTGAAGTTCTTTTCTTTAGTTAAGCAATTAGAATTAAAAGACTCTCAAGAAAGCTGGTACAGGTAATCAGTTAAGCAGTTGCTTAATTAAGGTTTATTTTATTCTCTGTCTTTTTTACAAGAGCTTTTTAACGAGCTTTTAGCATGAGCAGTGTTCACAAACATCAAGCAGAAACAGTTCCATAAAAAGGAATATATGGGCCTTTCTCGTCAATCCCTTGATGCGTGCTGTTTTACTATCTTAGATGATGAGAGAGCAGAAAAGAAAGCTACAAACTTTGATGCTTCACGTTTGTTACCACAGCCTCGCATTACTTTGCCTGACTTTAGAAGCTGGCCATCGCTCAGAGAAATTTCTTCATACAGAAAAGCTCACATCTGCGTCGTGTCTCATTGCAACAATCTCAGTTGGTAAAACAAAGAAATAAACTGTAAAAAATAATCTCAACTATTCACCAACAACACCAATGCACCAGCAGCATACAAGCAATGGCTGTTTCAAAAAAGGCATCATCAATGTGTTTATCAAAGCCACCTATTTTGGGAATGATGCTGATTATTCTACATGTTTTTAAGGTGGCCTGCTCATGAAAAGTTAGGAAAATTGCAAAAATCATACTGCATCTATCAAGAGATACCTTCTAAAAAACCAAGTAGTCCTGTGGCACTTTAGGGTATGTCTACACTACAGAGAAGATCGAAGCTGCTGCTATCGATCTCCCAGGGTTGGATTTAGTAGGTCTAGTTAAGACAGCTAATTCGAACTGAGAAGGGCACTCCGGTCAATGCTGGTAGTCCTGCTTCCACCAGGAGTAAGCAAAGTCGAAGAAAGAGTATTCTCCCTTCGACTTCCTGCAGTTGAGCTAAGCTACTTCGACTTCAGCTACACAGTTAATGTTGCTGAAGTTGCATATCTGAATTCGACCTTGTCCCGAAGTGAAGACATACCCTTAGAAACTAACGAACAAGTTGGACCACCCAGCAAAAATAGAATAAAATATCCTGTCTGCTTCAGCATATCACTTTCCACAAACAGAACATGTTTGGAAGGGAGAAAACGAAGGTACTGGGTCCTTCTGGTGACATCAGTTATTTAGATAGGCACCTTTAACTGTCCTTTTCTGTTTTCCAGCAATCTGTGTTAGCTACTAGTGTACCAGGAAAGGACTATAATCCTATCCATCCTTTGCTCCACCTATATTTGCACTGTCAGCTCCTGCTACTATATATATAGTATCATGAGCTTTCGTGGGCAAAAGCCACTTCTTCACATGAAATTATCTTGAAGTTACCCATTAACATGGCTATCCCTCTGAGACGTCTAAACAGTACGGTGGTAGCCATGATATGAGAAAGTTAAATAGATACAATACCATTAATTTTGCTATTAGCTTCTATTTTTCATAAATTAGAACATTTTGTTTCCTTAGCCTTGACTATTATTGTAATACAAACACATGTGCTCCTCTTAAATGTCAGCAGCAGTTTTCTCAGAAATAAAGACTTCAGGAAAGGACACAAACGGTTACTGAACAGACGTTACCTGACCACACATGAGACCTCTAAATATCCTATCAAATTAATTTCAGTGATAGCCAGTCAGTGATCACGCTGTTGATTGATGTTGATTTAGTACTTCAGGGTCAGGTAATTAGAATCTTCCAAAGTCACAATGTTCTTGGCAGAAAGCACCTTTGGGAGCAATACTTCATATCTGATCAAATGCAGTATGGTCTGAGTTGTGAGAATCCATGAGAATTAGCTTTGGGGGAAAAATATTTCTTGTGGAAACTGAAATGTTCACAAATATTCGTAAACTTTTGATGAGTGCACAGCTCCTGGTTTGGTCCACATAGATCCAAGGCTGTCTTGTCAATTTTTATAAACTCTTCTTTATTGTCAGGGTTATTCCCAAATTCCCATTGGGCGTGCGGGTTGAAGGACTAACACTAATATGTTACATTTAACAATATAACGTGTGCGTGCGCGCGCACACACACACACACACACACACACACACACACACACACACACAGAGCCAATCCTCCTGCTGTTTCTTGTGGTTGAAATAGTTAGATGCCCCAGAATATGAAGGGAAATAAGGTTAAATTACAAAGTATTAATATAAACAATTAAAGTATGTAGGGATGAAATTAGCTGTTTTCACAGGGTCCCTGGACTGGAACCTGGAATAGAGGGTGGGCCTGGTTTCCCCTCACCGAAAAGGAACTGCCTTTGGGAAGGGGGTTTATCCATCCCTGGAAGGGCCACAGAGATGATAGAATTTGGTTTCCCCTCTTTTCCCCATGCTGGCCAGTGATGAAAGTAGCTCAACAAAGAGCAAGCTGGTGTCCTAGAGAAAGTGCCTAAACTGAGGGCTACTGTGAGCCTCTGAGGCATGCAATCTGCCTGAAAGTGCAGGACTCACTAAGGCTGAGGAAGAGCTCTGTCACAGAGCATAACAACAGCTTTCAAGGACATAAAAACAGCTTTACAAGGAGGAGAGAGAAAAATGATTTGCCTTGTCCTCTAATGATAGGACAAGACTCAGTTTCAGTTTCGCACATACAGAATAGGAAGTGACTGTCTAGGAAGGAGTACTGCAGAAAGGGATTTAGAGGTCATAGAGGATGACAAGTGAAACATGAGTCAACAGAGTGACATTGTTGCAAAAAAAGCAAACATGATCGTGAGATGCATTAACAGGGTGTTGTGAGCAAGACATGAGAAGTCATTCTTTCGCTCTACTCTGCACTGATTAGGCCTCACTTGGTGTATTATGTCCAATTCTGGGCACCACATTTTGGGAAAGATGTGGAGAAATTGGAGATGGTCCAGAGAAGAGCAACAAAAATGATTAAAGGTCTAGAAAACATGGCCTATAAAGGAAGACTGAAAGAACTGGGCTTTAGTTTGGAAAAGAGAAAACAGAGGGGACACGATAATGGTTTTCAGGTATCTAAAAGAGTATTATAAGGAGGAGAGAGAAAAATTTATCTCGTTGGCCTCTGTGGATAGGATAAAAAGCAATGGGCTTAAACTGCAGCAAGGGAGGTTTAGGTTGGACATTAGGAAAAAGTTTCTAGCCATCAGGGTGATGGAACACTGGAATAAATTGCCTAGGGAGGTTGTAGAATTGGAGATATTTAAGAGCAGGTTAGACAGACATCTGTCAAGGATGGTCTAGGAGGTGGTTGGTCCTGCCATGAGGGCAGGGGACTGGACTCGATGACCTCTCAAGGACCTTTCAGTTCTAGTTTTCTATTATTCTAAGACACAGTGGGGTTAAATTGCAGTACGGGAGGTTTAGATTGGACATTAGGAAAAACTCCCTGTCAGGGTAGTTAAACACTGGAATACATTGCCTAGGTTGTGGAATCTTCATCACTAGAGATTGATAAGTGGAGGTCAGACACACACCTGTCAGGGATGGTCTAGCTGGTCCATGCTCCTGCTATGAGTATAGGAGAGTGAATTTGATGACCTCGTGAGGTTCCTTCCAATTCTATGAAAGTAAATTGAATACACATTTTTTTGAAAACACCATTGCTTTTATAATTTTGCATCTCTGTCTCTCTCTCTTTGTTGTTGGTGGATTTTATAAATCTTTTTCAGACAGATACTGTCCATTTCTATTTTATTGCTTCTCGTGATCTGACAGTTGCAGGCAATTTTGCTGATGATTTATTTATCCTCTGTGCCCCTGCTGTTTTCTCAGTAATACCCCTTCCATGGAGTTTTCCAAAGGTTCAATAGGAAATACTTCAATTAGCTTTTCTATTGTTCTTCCTTTCAGTCATTCCAAAGTCCATTCCATCCCAGTCTCAGCTGAGCCTATACTTTTACACAATAATAAATATAATATTTTAAGGATCCTACTCTGCTGAACTTGAATAGAATTTAGGGGTACCCCTACAGACTGTCCAACACAAATATCCAGCTTCCAAAAACGTTTGAAGACATTTATTATTCACAGGTACTTTCCCAGTCTCTCAGTCAGCCATCAGTCCTTGAAGCAGGGAATTCCAAATGACATTTCTAGCGAGGCTGCAATTTAAAAATTCAACCTCCAAGGCAGAAATCATCCAATCAGTTATTTTACAGCATTACTGTAGTTTGACAGCAAAATGAATCAAACTTCAGTGATGGCTGGCTGGGTTTACGCTGATGTAAATAGGAAGAGACCATGGTCTGACATACCTGACACAGAGCAGCATTATCTGAAAAGGGCCCCATTATCTCTTCAAAGATGCAGTCTTTTGCTCTATCTCCAATAACTTCCTTTACATCACTTGTTCTAATTCTTGTTTTATTCATACCAGTGCAAATCAGAAGGAGTTCTACTGGAATCTGTGGCATTAGATGCAGATAAAACAGGAGAAAAGTTAAGTATTACATCATCATATTCAATATCTTTGCACAGTTTGATCTAAAATAGCCAGTAAAGCAATTATACAAAATACGCAAAATTAATGTGATTTTTCATTCAATGAGTTTTCCTTTCACTTTCTGTTGCTGTGATGGCTTGCTTTACTGGCACCAACTCTTGGGTTAAATCAGAGACTAGGAAGTAGGATTGGGAGAACAGAAAACTCTTTCTGCGCTTTTAAACCCAGAACAGCCTAAACTTGGCTTTCACATAACACCTGAAACTAGCAAAGTAAAACGAGATAATATAATTGATTTCAAAGGATTTGGCTCATGCCCTAGTTGGTCTAAATCCAGAGTAGTTCCATTGAAGTCAAAGTTGGTGTTATTCCAGATTCATACTGGCAGAAATGAGAGCAGAATTTGGTCCCTTTAATGCCTTGTTATACTCTCAAATTGCTAGATATGAGGAAGATAAGAAATTCTAATCAGTGACAGAATACTTTTTCTTAGAAAAATTGGAAAATTGTTTTTAACATTAGACAAACTCAGAAATTAAATACCAACTTTAAAAAATTCTTTCACTATATTGATTTGTGCACTATGCAAATATTTTTTCAACTAACTGTAATATTCCTTTGACTTAATCCATAAAGATGACACTAGTATTATGGTATTTAAAAATTGCAACATTATATTTCATGAGCAAATAATAAATTATCAGGTTACCAGAATATAAATATAGTAATCCACTTTTGATACAAGACTACTTCTGTCTTCCAATAATAGGCATAATAGCATCTGTCACTGAGGCCCCAGCAGAAAACCATCTTCATTTTGACAGCAGTACAACATGAGTAGAACTGATTACAGACCTAATCACAGAACTGAAAATTAATGGTAGTTTAGGTACAAGTAATGACTAATCACATTTCTATTGTGCAAACAGAATAAAATCCAGACCTGTAACATATGTAAAGAGTGCTTTAAAAAGTCCAGTTTCAAAAAGCTGAAAACAGTTCTGATCCATATGAGCTATGAAAAAGAAAAATGTCAATCATAACTGGGAATTGCTAAGAACATTTTACTAAGCAAGGAAGAAAGATGTATTGGTTAAAAATCTACCTGGTTTAAAGGGGGAAGTGAATGCAGCTATAAAAAGGTTTAAATATAATATATAACAAAAGGAAGAAAGGGGAAGTTGACAGTCATGAATATAAATCAAAAGCTAAGAAGCGTAGAAAACTGATAAGGGAAGAAAAGGACACAAGGATAAACCTGTAGCCCACACAGTTTAGGACAATAAGGAGGATTTTTAAATGCATGTTAGGAACAAAAATAATCCTAATAATGTTATTGGTCCATTGCTAGATGGAAATGATAGAATTATCAGTAATAATACAAAAGCAGAAGTGTTTAATAAATATTTCTCTTCTGTTTTGGTGGGAAATCAGATAATGTGGATGGTAGTACTTTTTCCATTCCCCTAGCAGCTATTAAATATAGATATTTTGAAATCAGTAAGTTCAGGTAACTTGCATCCAAGATTTTAAAAGAAATGGCTAAGGAACCCACTAAACAGTTAATGCAAGATAATGGCATAACTGCTATGAGATTTGATTAATGAAGAATTAAAATAGTGTACTATACTTAATCTCAATATACATGGGTTTTAATTAGGTCCTGTCACACTAATCTGCTATCATTTTTGGTGAGATTACAAGTTTACTGCTAAAAGTAATACCGTTAATGCTAAAAGTAATAGTGTTAATGTAACAGATTTCTGCAAATCATTTGATTTGGTACCATATGACATTTTGATTAAAAACAAAATGTAAAGTTAATTAACATAAAATTAACATGGCATACCATAAATGGATCAAATGCTAGTTAATTGATAAGTCTCAAACTCTAACTGTAAATAGAGAGAAGCTTCAGGGGGTAGCCGAGTTAGTCTGTACAGGATACACTTAAAAAACAACAAATGGTCTGATAAACTTAAAAACAACACGTTATAGATTAACAAATGTATATGTTTATGTACATATGTCCATCTATATGTAAATAGACAATCACTGTCAAATGGGTTTATTTGTAGTGGGTTCAGGGATTGGTTCTTGGCCCAGTGCTATTCAGCATTTTTTATCAATGACCTGGAAGAAAACAAAATCATCATGATAAAGTTTGCAGATTACACAAAAATTGGACGAGTGATAAATAATGAAGGGGAGTGGCTGATTCAGAGTAATCTGTTTTAAGCCCTGGAGTAATTGCCTAGGGAAGTTGCAGAAACACCATCATTAGAGATTTTTAAGGGAGAAACACCAGGTTGAGAATGGTATAGATAATACTTAGTCCCGCCATGAATGCAGGGAACTGGATTAGGTGACCAACTAACCTTTTATTGGCATTAATGAAAGTTCATAGCTTCATAGGTTCCAAGGCCAGACTGGCTCATTTAGATTGACCTCCTATATTATCCTATGATTCTATAATCTGGATCCCTTGGTAGACTGAGCTCCGTAAACAAAATGTTTTTTTAACATGGCTAAACATAAAACTATGCATCTAGGAACAAATGATGTAGGCTATACTTACAGGTGGGGTACTCTGTTTTGGGAGGCAGTGACTTTCGAAAAGAGTTAGGGTGGATAATCAGCTGAACATGAGATCCCAGGGTGATACTTTGGCTAAAGGGGCTAATGTGATCCTGGGACGCATAAACAGAGTCATCTCAATTAAAAGTAGAGAGGTTATTTTAAATCTGTGTTGGACACTGGAGTGACAATTGCTAGGATACTATGGCCATGTCTGGTACTCACAATTCAAAAAGGATATTGATAATTTGGAAAGGGGTTAGAAAAGTGCCATGAGAATGATTAAAGGATTAGGAACCATGCCTTTTAGTGATAAACTAAATGGAATGATCTGCTCGAGTCTAACAAGGACAAGGTTAAGAGGTGACCTACAGTCTGCAAGTACATACTTGGGGAATAAATATTGATAATAAGCTCTTCAGTCTCCTAGAGAAAGATATAACATGATCCAGTGGCTAGAAGTTGAAGCTAGACAAATTCAGCCTGGAAGAGTAACACTTATATTTTTTTTAACAGTGAGGGTAATTAACCATTGGAACCATTTCCCAAAGGTCATGGCAGATTCTCCATCAATGACCATTTTAAAATCAAGATGGGATATTTTCTTAAAAGTTGTACTCTGGCAACTTTGGGGAAGTTTTATGGTCTGTATTATATAGGTATAGATGGTCGAGCTAAATTATCACAATGGTCAATTAGGCCATAGATCCTATGGATATATGA